CAACAACTTCTGATTCGATGTGTAATATGTAGCATCCATGCTAGCTCTGTAAACAAACAAGCCGGCTGATGAGACGTCACGTCTTTCACTGCGCATGCGTGTCACATCAGTGCTGTGTAGCGTTCACACAGGGGTCTGATGCAGGTCACATTTAAAATGTAATGTCAACGTTCACACAAAAAGATCGGATTTTTTCAAAAAATCGGAACTGAGCATTAAGACCTGCAGTGTGAACGTAGCCTAAAGTTAAGACCTTAAAAGTCTTAAATTTGTTTTTTAAAAATTGTAAGTTGGTTTTAAATGCATTGCTCAATTAGGAATGCACAATAAAAACAATATACAGTAGAAACGATATAAATATGGCCTCTGATAGAGATCTGTAGTCTACCTGCCAACCGCGGTAATTCTTTTTGATGACGTAACCGGCTGGAGTCAAAACAGACGAAACGGGAAGCAGCGTGGCTGATAGCACAAAGGAAGAGCAAAAAGTTACAAAACAAATTATCTGGACCTGGTGCGGGTGTGCGAAAATGAACGCCTAACATATTTACGTGATGGCGCGTTGTCCGGTCGGCTGCCAAGCGACCACACTGCCTGCAGCAGGAGGAGCGCGGCAGATGTAACGGTCACGCAGCGAGGCAACCGTCAGTGCAGGTCAGTGCAGGTCAGTGCGAGCCCCAGTGGGACGCGCAAAAGCTCGCCGAGTCTAATGGACCTCGTTTCTCCAGCAGTCATAGCGCGATGCTGTTTCAAGTCGTACAGCGGGGAAGCGCTGTGGGAAAGGGTGGCAGTCTGACTGTCTTTCAAAAAAAACAACAACCTGTAAAGCATAAACGGGATGATTGTCACCCTGCCAGAGCGTGCACAGAGTAAACACGTGGAGTGCAGAAAAAGTAATCTGCAAATTGTGTAGAAATAAATAAATAATACACTAATAAATACATTAATAAATAAATTTGTTTTGCCACCTTAAAACGAAGCAGGTTATTCCAAACACAACATCCAATGGATGCAGATATCTATTACATTAAAGTTGTGTGTGTGCGTGTGTGCGTACGTGTGTGTATATCTTTGATTTAACCAGGTAGGTCTCCCTTAAATTTAGATTTTTAAGGGAGACTTCAAAGTTTCCCTTAAAAAAGAGATTTTAAGGTCTAAAATGTTTTTAACCCATACATATTTGTACATTCCACTCAATTATTGTGATTTATTTATTTTCTATTATAAGTTTTGTATCATGATGTATATCGTTACTGCCACCCTCATAATGTATATCTTGAGATGAATTTTTTGCCATATCGCACATTCCTACGCTCAGTGTTCTTAAATTTTGTCTGGCAGAAATGGTTAAAGTTCTGTCTCCGCAAAGCTGAAGTGTGGAGGAGAAAAAATGTTTGTTGTGGTCTTTGGGAATTTAACTGATAAAGTTAAAATTTTAACTGAATTTAACTGAATTTAACCAATAAAAAGAACCAGAGGCACAGTTTTAGCTAATCGGTGCAAAGCAGGGCGGGTCCTTGTGTGTGAGCAGAACCAGAATCGCAGGTGAACTAATCAGTGTTGCTCTGAATGTTTTATGAAGCGTTTATGTGTTCAGAGCATCATCTTTACCTTACAGATGTGCAAACTGAGTGCGTGACCGAACTTCAGGTCTGACAGAGAGAGCTTATCGCCGCAGGAGTCTCTCACCATGACAGAGGAGGCTGTAGCTGCTGCTTTAGTTCTTATTATTAAACAATATTAATGCTAAAAGAGGAATATTTGTAAACCACAGATTACAGCAAATATGTTTGTCTCAGTTTAGATTTATTATATACTTAGTCTATATACAGTGGGGAAAATAAGTATTTAGTCAGTCACCAATTGTGCAAGTTCTCCCACTTAAAAAGATGAGAGAGGCCTGTAATTGACATCATAGGTAGACCTCAACTATGAGAGACAAAATGTGAAAAAAAATTTGAGAAAATCATTTTGTCTGACTTTTAAAGAATTTTTTTGCAAATAATGGTGGAAAATAAGTATTTGGTCACCTACAAACAAGCAAGATTTCTGGCTGTCACAGACCTGTAACTTCTTTTTTAAGAGGCTCCTCTTTCCCCCACTCATTACCTGTATTAATGGCACCTGTTTGAAGTCGTTAACAGTATAAAAGACACCTGCCCACAACCTCAAACAGTTACACTCCAAACTCCACTATGGTGAAGACGAAAGAGCTGTCGGAGGACACCAGAAACCAAATTGTAGACCTGCACCAGGCTGGGAAGACTGAATCTGCAATAGGCAAGCAGCTTGGTGTGAAGAAATCTACTGTGGGAGCGATAATCAGAAAATGGAAGACATACAAGACCACTACTAATCTCCCTCGATCTGGGGCTCCACGCAAGATCTCAGCCCGTGGGGTCAAAATGATCACAAGAACAGTGAGGAAAAATCCCAGAACCACAAGGGGGGATCTAGTGAATGACCTGCAGAAAGCTGGGACCAATGTTACAAAGGCTACCATCAGCAACACACTACGACGCCAGGGACTCAGATCTTGCAGTGCCAGACGTGTCCCCCTGCTTAAGCCAGTCCATATCCAGGCACGTCTGAAGTTTGCTAGAGAGCATTTGGATGTTCCAGAAGAGTGTTGGGAGAATGTCATATGGTCAGATGAAACCAAAGTACTATTTGGTAAAAACACAACTCGTCGTGTTTGGAGGAAAGTGAATGCGGAGTTGCATCCAAAGAACACCATACCAACTGTGAAGCATGGGGGTGGCAACATCATGCTTTGGGGCTGTTTCTCTGCAAAGGGACCAGGACGACTGGTCCGTGTACATGAAAGAATGAATGGGGCCATGTATTGTGAGATTTTGGGTGCAAACCTCCTTCCATCAGCAAGGGCAATGAAGATGAAACGTGGCTGGGTCTTTCAGCATGACAATGATCCCAAGCACACTGCCAGGGCAACAAAGGAGTGGCTTCGTAAGAAACATTTCAAAGTCCTGGAGTGGCCTAGCCAGTCTCCCGATCTCAACCCCATCGAAAACCTTTGGAGGGAGTTGAAAGTCCGTGTTGCCCGCCGACAGCCCCAAAACATCACTGCTCTAGAGGAGATCTGCATGGAGGAATGGGCCAACATACCAGCAACAGTGTGTGCCAACCTTGTGAAGACTTACAGAAAACGTTTGACCTCTGTCATTGCCAACAAAGGATATACAACAAAGTATTGAGATGAACTTTTGTTATTGACCAAATACTTATTTTTCACCATTATTTGCAAAAAAATTCTTTAAAAGTCAGACAAAATGATTTTCTCAATTTTTTTTTCACATTTTGTCTCTCATAGTTGAGGTCTACCTATGATGTCAATTACAGGCCTCTCTCATCTTTTTAAGTGGGAGAACTTGCACAATTGGTGACTGACTAAATACTTAGTTTCCCCACTGTAGAGTTGTCACAATGTTTGAACTATTACAAGGAGTTTTTTCTTATGGATTTGGTATAATTTAATTATATTTAGAACTTTACTGAGAGGTAACAATACAATACAGCTAATTTAACCAGAGAGCTGAGTATCTTTATATTCAATGTGTTTTGTCGAGTGACACTTGTGATACTTGGTTGTAAAGCAAAGGAATCCTCCAAACATTGCTTATATTTAAAGGTTTTTCAGTCTTAAATTTCATTCAAGATGGCATTAAAAAGGTCTTTAAAATCTTTAATGTGACTTGCTAAAACCTGCAGATACCCTGCCTCATGTTATTTGTTTTTTGTCAGAAGCTGGGCAATACCGTTTTGCATGAACTGCAGTTGATGTTTAACCGTTTATTTATTTTTTTCTCTAAAAGACATGTTTATCTCAATAATTTCTGACATAATTTATCATCCAGCAAAATTTGTTATCCTGACAGGCCTAGCCTCATGAAATTCAGTCTTATTCAGGCAAGTGGTACTAGTGGCTAAGCAAATGGCTAGAGCCATTTTCTAACCTGTTTTACAAAAAATATATAAAATATTTTGGTTTTTAAAAGCCAGAGAGACACTTCAGAGCTACATCATTATTGTCAGTTACAACATCTCTTCCAGTAAATTGTGAATTTT